CCGCCCCCCCCCCCCCCCCCCCCGGACAATGGACGATAAATGGCTAGGCTGTTCTACACTTTGCAGCTGCTGCGCGGGGAATTAGGCGAGTTGAAATGGTTATTTACCGCGTGGACGTAATAGTCTTTGGACATCAGCTGAAGCCATATACTGACAGAAGACTACCTCAAAATATTGCGCTCCCTTTCTCGATGAGGAATTCCATCCCCACACAATCTATCGAGCAGGTTAATATTCAGGATACTTTCAAGAAGAAAAAACCGGACAAATGTGGCATATAAAAGACTGAGAGAGGCTGTTCTCTTTGCTAGTCTACAGAGTCCTCCCAGAAGCTACTGAGCCACATGAAAGTTCTTCCAGTCACCTTAGTGGGAAGAGATATAGTCAAACGCTATCGTCCGTGCAATAAAACCCTCGAATCAGTACTCCTGATTGGCTGATCGAAATATACTCCAACGAACCACGATCCCTGTCCAGTTGTGCCACTACAGAACTTATGGAGTTTGTATGAACACCACGCTGGTCTGTGCAGTGCTGCTCTGGTGGTAGTATCCTGGTTAGCCAACAGTGAACTCGAACTTTGCTTTTATCAGAGCACTGCATATACTTGATGCTATTCGGGTGTGCATTTCAGTTATTTGGCATGCAAGGTGAACGAATACCACACCAGTCGGAACTATATTCGCCGATTGAGAGGTGACAGTCTAGTTGTGTGGGGGCGAGATGGTCTAAGTGGTTAGAGCGCGAATTTACTGACCGGAAGGTTCGTGTATCGAGCCATACCTCTGCCTCTCGACTTCCCCTGTCTAGGCTTGGGCAACTTGGCCGTATCCCAGCCCTCGTTCTTCCTTCGGGTGGCATGGTAGCTAGGCACCGAATGGGTGCTACAGCTGAACGGTGTGTCAAACTTGTGGTGATGGACACTCATCCTGTACACCAGGTTTCAAAAATGCACCTTAATGCTGAACCCTGATAAGCGCAAGACTCGAGTACAGTAAATCTTCACTTCATTTTCGACTACTCCGAACAATTGTACGAAAATAATATCGCCAAACAGTTGTCGTTTTGGTCAACTCGTGTGAAAGTATTGTCTGTAAGTTTTGCCTTGATTTTCGAATTTTTTCGTGAAGTTCACTCATTTCGATTCTCAGAAATTGCCTTGTGATCTCTGGCCCTGGAGGATCTTCATGATACGGTGCTCCCTCCGTGTACATACTACGTACCCTCTTCCCTTGTTGCGTTCGAATGCACTCGGGTGACGGACCTGTCCATTCACAGTCCAAGCGGAAGTCTTTCCTCACACCACAGTCGTTATTCAACCTACGACAATTTTATCTGAAACGAGCAAAGCTGAAAACTGCGGGTCGGGTTTCAGCCCTACTATCTGGCTTTGCTTTAGTAGCTATTATTGAGCTTGATGTAAGTTGTTTCCAGGATATTCTAATCAAATGCAGACTTCAGAAGCAGGATACAAGGCGCCGCCGGCACTTGTTGCGGTGTTCACCACGGTATCATGCCTACTTGTGGTTGTTTTAATGTTGGCCGTGATGATAAGCACTTGTATCTCGCCACACATCGAGTCCTATCTTAGTATTGCTTCTTTCGTGCCGCTTGAAGAATCGCCCCATTTCCAGCTTAAAGTGTAAGGCGCTTTTTTATCTGATATGTTCCTCAAGGTTTATCGAACTAGCCTGGATATTCAGTACAGTCATTGGCATTTTTCTCTTCTTGGCCGTAATGGTGCTTGCTTGCTGGGTGAAATTTTGGCATGCCAGCGAATCCTCGGCAATCGCAAGTGCTGCAGTCATTATCCCTTCTCTCTTTGTATTCGTTGCTCTGAGTGCTCTGTTTTACCGTACTCTTGCGACACATGCTGTTCAGCAAGCTCAACGGACGATTGAACGACTGGATCTGCGTATGGATCGGCTAGAAGCTGGTCAGCTAACCAGTACGGCACAGGTTGCCGAAGTATGACGGTCGGTGGATGAATTTGTGGAGAAGTGCAAGCATATCTTGCGAACTGCAGGTAGGCCGTTGCAGCTTGTACAAATTTTTTGCTTTGTCAGGTTCAAGGTATGAATGTTCTCATCATTTCCCTTCGAAAGAGGCCATGTCACCGTTCTACGTGAATGTCACTGGTGTTGTTCTACCAGTTGGGGGTTCGTGGCTTGTGGGAGGTGGACTAAAAAAAACCCCGAACACTTCACAGTATTGGGACTACTTCCAAAAATCATTGATGATATTTTAGGTCGCCATTACTTCATTTTCGGAGGGCGTATTTTTGTTTCTGCGCCGACTTCCAGTATTTTCATTGAATTCTGTATTTTGCACTCCCATATTTGTGCGATCCTCTCAACCATTTTACCCCAATTGTATATAATAATATAACGATCGCATTCACCACCCACGGGCTGTTGTTACTCGTATGTGATCCCTCCCCTTACTTTTCCGGATAGCGAACCCAAGGAAATATAGTACCACCGCCTGTGCACAGTTGAGTACGTCATTTCTTCGGTCGTAAAGATTTGTCTGATGCAGTATCTTCTTGGTAAATGTCCGCCTTGATTTAATTGGAAACTGAGGTCTTGTCCCTACGAATTGGGTTGTCTTTAAGATTGTCAAGAACTAGCTAAGGGGCTTTCTCTTCTTGAGAGGACTCTCCAGATGTGTTAGCTTTTTGTCTGTACATTGTTTAGATAAAGTTGAATTGTCTTGGCGGGGTAGCGACAAGTTAATTTTCTTCTGTTGTGCAGTGAAAATCAGCTCGTTCACCGCTTCTAGTGATTCGACCAGTCAACCCCTTTGCTAGTGCCGTTGAGAACCCTTTTCAGTGGTCGGATATCTATACCTACACCCGTCCAATGGCCATACCAAGTGTTAACTGGGTTGCTAATGCGTTTACTATCACGAGTTCTAATTGCGTCCTTCAGCATTTTTTCATGAGAGTGATTGCATTCTATATTTAGCAATTGGTGACTTTATTTTATCCGTGGTCGAGGAGTGTTTCTGGATGAAATTACCTCGATCGATGAGACTTTCACTAGTTGTTTGTTTGCTTACCTTATATGTGGGTGTGGGGTTTGTTGAATCATTGTCTTCGGACTATCATTATGACTGGTCCCTACCGGAGGAAGAAGCATTGGAATCAGGTTTCACTTCTATAAGCACTTATTTGCCAAACCAGGATTTGATCGTCGGTCGCCAGTTTCACGTATACCACCGACCAACAATCACTGTGTTCCTTGACTTCAAAGAGGTCTTGGACTCTTCAGTTAGGCTTGTGCTTTTACGGACAAAGAGGAATGTTGTGGAGGTCTATCCGTTCATCAGTTCGTACCATTTATTTCACCAGTTCTGGTCGTTAGGGATATTCAGTGATTCTTCCAAAAGTTTCCCTACGGCTAGTGTGGTTCACCAAGGCATCCGGAGGAATGTTAACTAACCTGGAGTATGCGAACGATGTTGTTTTGTTATCTGACGATCACTAGCCCGTGCGATTCATTCTGAATAGAATGTGGGAAGTTGTTCCTTGTTCCGATATTCGTTCTGCACCCTCAAGGTGCAAAGTTTTGCTTCGGGATCTTCAATCCTCATGTTTTTGCTCAAATTTTGAAATGAGTTTGAGATGTTGATTTGGTTGAATATCTGGCTGCTGTGTAAGCCGCACTGTGACAGATGAGGTCGTTTAACCCATTGGGAAAAGATTGCTCAGTGGTTAGAGCGCGAATTCACTGACCAGAAGGGCCGTGGTTCGAACCCGATCTCTATCTCTCAACTTCCCCTGTATGGGCTTGGACAACCTGGCAGTATTCGAGCCCTCGTGCTTCCTTTTTGTGGCATAGCAGCTAGGCACCGAAGGAGTGCTAAAGCTGAACGATTTCACCCATTAGGAGCGCCGAATAATGTTTTCCAGCTTGTGCCATTGGTAGCATCTGGAGGAAATTTTAGTGAAGCTGAATGGCGGTGCATAAGACCGCTGTGGGAGCTGTTTCACTTTCTGTTTTTGAAAATTCGTCCCTGCGATCCGGAAGCCTAAATCACCCCCAGATATCTGGTCACTGTGCCTTGTAGGAGTTAGCTGGCTACAGCAACGAAGTGGTGCTTAGGGGACCACTTGGTAGTGAAGCAGAATCACTAGAGCAGTAAATAAATCATCATGGTTGTACGTGGGCTGGGGTACTGCCAGAGCGCCCACACTGAGACAGGGGGACGATTAGAAACCCCAGCCGAAGCCCTTGGCTCAAAAGCCTGGCCGCAACACAGCGGTGTTTTTGCAAATGCAATCCAATTTTTACAGAACAAGTCAGCATACATGTTCCAACCCCCAACCTGGAGGACCAGGAGACTGTCAGACCTGTAACCATTGACAAACCTGGTATGGCAGACTGCGAGTATCACGTGGACACGCACGTGCGGCACACGTACGTGGACACACGTACGCCAGTGAAGCATCGGCGTTGAACACTGATGTGATGCTGTCGATGATGATGAAGATCCAGTCTTTTCGTGACGGGAACAGTAAATAAAGTTGTCAGACATGCCCAACCACTGTCTGTCAAAGAAGGCGCTTATTAGCGTAGAAAACTACTTGCCTATGTGTGGTGTCCCCAGATTTGTCTCACTATCACCGACGCGTATACACTAACCAGCCCTACTGGAATAAGGACGAAAATAGGAGATAAATGTTTGCGGAAGATGTACTTTACTGCTGTAGATGAACATTCGAGAACTCGGCCACTATTGGGTACTCCTGGTCTCCACCTTTGCTATATACAGCCAGCCTGTCTATCTGCGTTTGCAACTGCTTGATACATTTCCCACTACTACCTCCCTACACCATCCAATAAAAACCAGTTGATGTCACCAAATTCCTCTTTTTGTCATGAGAACTTGAAGTAATCGGTAAGCCTGTTTGCACATCGAACAGCAAATCAAGGTATCTGACAGAGGGTACTAAACTGTGTTGTCTCCTTTCACCTCATCAAAGCACTTTTCTTACTCTGTTCTTTCTAGTGTGAGGACTGGGTTTTGTGTTGGCACCTCTGGATGACTTCAATCGGAAATGCCCCTCGAGGCAGATGCTTCCTCGGAAGTAGGAATGGTATTGTCATCATAACCATGTGCTTTTTCACTTCTGTACGTGAGAGGTGACTAAGAAGCTTTCAATTCACCTTTATCTTCCCCTGAACTCGTCGGAATAGTCGATCCTATTTGTGAGAAACAAATAGGTACAATGGAGCCTGATGACTACGCAATCATGGACAGTAATTTTGCACTCTATACGTCACTTGGACATCACTCAATATGCAGAACTCAACGGATCCTTGAGAAGCATTGAATTGTGGTTCACAATGTGACTCACTAAATTTCGGATTTCCTGATTTGGTTGATTATCCGAAACTGTTATCTCATTCGCCATGTCCGGGTGAGGCCGTAGGTGGAGAATATTCTTTCTGGAGAGAGAAACTCAGCCAGGTGGACTGAGTTTTTTGCTTCGCTCTTTGGTATCTGTGTGTATGCACGCCTTGGGTAACTTGTAGAAATTATCTTCTTTATGTGTGACACTCGTTCCGCATGTCTGATGTCCTTAAGTCGACTACTGATATACAATTCTGATTAGCTCTAATCAGAACGAGACGCTAGTCCAATGGTTCCCCCCCTATGGTGTGGACTCACCGCAATAACTGTCAGAACAGAAGGAGAACTGTTCAAACTCTACAAATCCCACCACGGCCAACAACTAGTCGTCTGGACGTGTTCCTTGTTCAGGAGATTTATGTTGCTGTGGTATTTTGTTGTTCTTGTCTCAGTTTTGCTTATAGTGGTGCACTTTGCTGATCTGGGCAATTTGATTGCGAACGTTTCATCACCAATCGAGGTGACATCATCAGTGCGGGGGGCGGGAAGATGCAATTTCCAATAAGTGCTTCTCCCTTCATTGTGCTTCCTAGATCATCGCCTGTGTCGTCTGTGTGCGACACATTAGGTTTCAACACAATGCGCAGTCATCAGTATGATGGCCAGTGCCCTTAGATTCATTGGAAACTCTACGAGAATTTTCTATAGGTCCCTACCAGTTATTATTACAGCTCGCTCGGTGTCGGTGAGTCTCTGTAAGAGACAAAGATGTATCTCACTCATATGTTTAATGTTGTTGAATTTAAGGGAATTTCCTGAAAACAGTGGTTGGGGATTTCACCTTTCTTATATTGAATCCAGTGGCGAAATATCCATCCGATAGTTGCAGTGCCGTCCACCCGTATTAGAGGATATTCCTCATTCCATAAACTTCTCACTGGGAGGTTGTTATTTCTAGAAATACTGGATATGGCGTTTATATATGTACCTTCATGCAAGCTGGTTTCGCGGCGTTTTCAGTTCGCAGGAGCTGAGTCAGTTCGAACGATGAAAGGGGTTGGTTCCTCGGCCCAGATGTAAAAAATTACAGAAAAAAACTCAGGAATTTGATTCTGTGGATATCAAATTCCTTAGTTTTTTTCTAATTTTTGACATCTGGGTTCAAGGAACAAGCCTTTCATGGAGATGGTTAGAGCGCAAATTTACTGACCGGAAGGTCCGATCTCTGCCTCTCGACTTTCCCTGTCTAGGCTTGGGGAACCTGGCGGTATCCAAGCCCTCGTGCTTCCTTCGGGTAGCATGGCGGCTAGGCACCGGAAGGGTGTTACAGCTGAGCAATTTTTTCTACGAATATTTTGTTAGAAACGTAGAATGACGAGACGATGATAAGGTGCAATGTATTCTTTGTGCAAGTAAGTTTTTTTCGAATCTGAAGTATAATGTGCCGTCAATAAGCATCCATTGGTTTCTATACTGTTTTGATATTTAAGTACGGAATCCATGATTGTCGGCACCTTCCAATGGGATGTAAACTCATTTCGCGGTAAAAATGTCATGAAAGAGCATTAGTCTGGTGGACAGAGGTCCACACTGAACAATCCATCTCGTTTCCCCGGAATTAAATGTGATATCAGGCCGTCAGATACTTGCCATGTTGTCTCCGTATGCAGAATCTATGACTGCCAAAAGGATGCAAATTCGGGTCGCCCTGATCCTCATCAGGTTTTGTTGTTTGGAGATTTCGTTCACTCGTTAGACTGAGGTGTTGTCAACTTATGGTAAATATACGATAGCTTAGTGCTCTTCCCACTCCTCGCTAATTTTTACGACTCCCAGTCCAGGTTCATCTAAACTTCGTTGAGGACCCGTCTGTAAGAACATCATACTTTTTTGAGTACTTTCCACTGTGGTATAGTCTAACGGGTGCATCAGGTGGCTTTCTCTAACCGCTTTTTTATCTGCCAGTTGATCTCCCTCAAGCTGTAGTCGGCCAAGTAAGTAATTAGGGGGCATGAGTGAACTTTCACCAAGTCGAGAGGGCATTTCGGAAAATTTTGACGATCTATAGATTTGTTGCTGGGCATCTCTTGTGGATCCATGCAATGTTGATTTGGCAAAAGTCTCAATGTGATCCTTGTGGTGATAAGCACATACTCAGCCCATTATAATCATTCCTAGATGCCCACCCCTCCAGACAATCATTCGCTGCTTCTGTCACTCCGAATTTGGCACGGAAGACAGTGCTCCCTTGGACAACCGATGGTTCAGCACGCGCAATACATGGCCCAACCAACGTAGTTTCTGGCGCTGGATCGTATTTCGAATCCTGTAGGCGCGCGTGAGTATTCAGTGTTTACAGCACCCACTGATGTAAGACAAGACCACCCTTTCTCACCATTCCCATTCAACTTTGTTATTGACATGCTACCTCCCTCTGCAACCTGGCGGATCGAAATACCCTCAGGGTGTTTGCTCAAAAACGTTGAGCGTGCGGACGACACCGGTTCCCACGTTGCAAATCCTTGGAAGATACACATCACTGGAAAATTTGGGTGCCTTAATTCGATGTAAACGGGACCACGGATCTGGGAAGCTCAACGAGCTAATGAACACTAAACTGGCTTACAAGTCTTGATTCAACCTTCGCTACGCCTGTGTTGACACGCTTCAAATACAGTTAGTCCCTTTGTAGAGAAACGTTCACACAAAAGAATGACCAACCTTGGTTCCACTGTTTTACAAGCACTGCATCTTTGGGACTGTTTTTGTCGCCTAAACTGGGCAATGACTGCACCATAACCTAGTTATTTTCCGACCAGAATACCGAGGATGGTTGTAGATTTGCTCAGGCAACATCCACTGAGTGAATTGGTTCGACCCCAATCGAGAATCGATAGACAACCAGCTTCATTCACCAATTTGCTGGTTTGTTGATACGGTTGTCCCTCTCCGGGGCGAGATGGTCCAAGTGGTTAGAGCGCGAATTTACTGACCGGAAGGTCCGATCTCTGCCTCTCTTGACTTCCCCTGTCTAGGCTTGGGTAACCTGGCAGTATCCCAGCCCTCGTGCAACCTTCGGGTGGCATGGCAGTTAGGCACCTGAACGGTGCTACAACTGAACGTTTTTTTCTTTCCCCTAGTCGGTTTTTTGAAGAGGCTGATTAAAGTGCTTTCCTCTCAGTGGTGGTCCTCCCCCAGGATAAACCGACAAAAATTTGTTTGGAAATATGGACCCAAGTATACTTGGCTGTGTTGTATTCTGGTTGGTTACTCCAGAATTCATCAAGTCCCTCCATCCTAACAGAACTATTCTTCTGGGACAATGGCTCTTTGGGTAGCTCCAGTGTTACGTCACCCCTGAACGGCTTGCAGTGGTTATTGCCCTTGAAATTCTACCCTATTCTACTGCATAAATGGCCCCAGTTCTTTATCGCTTTGAATACTTCCATGAGGTTCATTCCAACAGAAATCAACAGAAATCGAACCCACCACGTGCCTGATACCATCGGTTTGTGGTAGGCGCAAATGATTATCGGTTGGTGTATGAGAATAAGTGCATATTAGCGCGTGTCATTTTTCGAAAGAAAGACCTCGACTGAACAAACCTCGTTGTTGAACGCAAGCTCTCACATATTTGTGACAAGCGCATTCCTGTGAAATGGAATCCGATTTCAACGTTTGACAGTGAGCAGGCAAATGTCGTAGTTAGGCGGGTTGGCGATAGGCAAGCACTTTTTCATGAAGGCCGATTGTAACTTCTCATTTCGATGATCTCTGATGGGCAGTATTCTGGTGTTGCGACCGTGCCGATCAACGAGCTTTACTTTATTTGTTCGCTTTCCGACCGATAAACTTACTCCGGAAGAGCTGAACATATCCATC